CCCATCAACAACAGAGCGGAACCTTATCTTGTGCCATCCTCACAATCTCCAACATGCCAGAACACATCGTTACAGTCATGGCGCCAAACCATCTCCTTGGTTCCCTGCTTCTTCTCTAAGCTCCCAGTAAGGCACTCTTGCTGACAGTAATGTCTTAATTTACCGTGTTATTATGGAACGTCAGATACAGCATACTAACAATTTTAAGTTGACAAAACCCAACAAGGATGTAAACTGCTTCATGATGATGTTGTTACGTGGTCTCAAGTGAAGTAGGACTCAGCCTCCCGATGAATGACGGAGCTGGACCTTGCCCTATTCCAGACCTTCTCACCATCTCTGACTTACTCGAGCCCACTGGTGCTTTTACTCCATCTTGTTGAGTGTCTTCCTTTTTTTCCCTTTCCCAGCATGATGTCTTTTCCAAGGACTGGCCCCTCCTACTAACATACCCAGAGCATATGAGACGGAGCTTCATCGTTCACACTTTTAAGGAGCACCCTGGTTGTACTTTCGTTCGGACAGACTTGTGTGTTCTCTCTGCAGACCATGAAATACTCAGTATTCTTAGACAACATCACAATTCGAAGACACTGATTCTTCTACTCTCATTCACTGCCCAACTTGCAGATGGTTAGCAAGTAACTGAAAAGATCATGGCTTGGATCAGTCGTGCCTTTGTCTTTAACCGGACATCACTGCTTTTCAGCATTTTGGCAAGGTCCTTGGCAGGTTTTCCCAGTGTAACATGTCTTTTGATTTCTTGACTGCCATTACCATTGATGTTGACTGTGGATCCAAGTAAAATGAAATGCTTGACAATGTCAATTTTTTCTTCTCTATGATGATGTTGCATATTGGTCCAGAGGATTTCTGTTTCTTGATACTCAGATGTAATCCATTTTGAAGGCTGTAGTCTTTGATATGCCGCAATAAATACTTAAAATCTTTTTTACTTTCTGCAAGCGAGGTTCTGCCATACACATAATCCATGTTGTTGATGAGTCTTCCTCTAATCCTAATGCTAATTCTTACCCAGCTTCTTTAATTATTTGCCCAATTCAGCATAATACTAAATAGTTATGTAGAAAGGATTCAATCCTGGAATACACACTTTTTTTTAAAAAAGGTTCCCTGTGAATGTACTTTTCATTTTTTAATTAATAGTCTGTAGATTTTACTTTTATGCTATATTAATACTATCCTATAATTTATACCTTTTATTGATCATATTTTTGTTTTGTTTTCCTTGTTGTGTACTGTCAAATCAGACACAACTGGCATAGAAGGAGACTGCCTTTTCTTCTCCAGTGGAGCATCTGGTGGATTCGAACCACTGGCCTTCAGGATTGCAGCACAGCTTCTTGCCACTAAGCTACCAGAGCTCCCTGTATCACCTTTTTAAGGAATAGGCATAATTATGGATCTCTTCCAGTAGGCCAGGAAGCTGTCTTCCAAATTCCTTGGCATAGCCTAGTACGTCCAGGGATGTATGTGCTTGTTGAAACATTTTAATCCCGTCAATTACACGTATTCCATCAACACCAGGGGCTTTATTTTTTGCCAGTGTCTTCAGTGCAGCCTGAAATTTTTCCCTCATTACCATTGGTTCAGATCATATACTACTTCTGGAAATGGTTCAGTGCTGACCAGTTATTTTTCGTACAGTGGATCTGTATATTCCTTCTAGGTTTTTTTCCATGCTTCCTGCATCATTCAACATTTTGCCCATGGAATTCTTCTGGTTTGCAACTTGAGGCTTGAATTTGTTCTTAAGTCCTTTTGACTTGAGAAATGCCAAGCATGCGCTTCCCTTTTGGTTTTATAACTAGTTCTTTGTACATTTTGCTAAAATACTTTGCTTGGTTTTCTCGACCTGCCCTTTGAAATCTTCTGTTTATCTATTTTATTTCAGTATAACTTCCCTTTATTTTTGTTTCTCTCTTAAAGTAAAAAATGTTTATGATCTGATGAAGAATAAGTATTAATTTGAGAGTATAAGTTATTACAGAAGCTTAAGGGGAGAAACCCTTCATTTTCTTTGACCTATTAAGATCTCTCAGAGAGAAAGAGAGACAGCCATAGAGCTTCTAACAATTCTAAATCCTTTCCTTAGGATTTCCTTCAAACTAAACTTACTACTTAGGGTCATTGTTAGAAATATACTCTTCTTTTCTGTTATACCTACCAGCTGCTCTTTAGGGGAAAAGATGGGCAACCTTTTCCTCTGTGAATTTTTCTCTGAAAACACACTGAAGGGTCAGCTAAGGGTCAGTTCCAAACTGACAGCAGACAAGAGCAGCATAGCTTTCATAGGTAGATCTAGTTTAGAATGAAATGCTCTCACAAAACCTATTTATCCTCAAGTCAGAACTTACTCGCAGTTGACTCTTCACTGAGGATCTGAGGCTATAAACAGCATGGAAAGAGATTTGCCTGTCTTTCTCCTGAGATGCTGCCGATGGATTCAGAATTCCAGAGAGGCATGACTTTTGCTTTAGCATGTAACTTCATGTACTTGAATACATGATAGTTCCTTTATGTGATCAGATTATAACTGATGTGATATTAGAAGACGTGAATTAGATTCAAGAAATCATTAAAGAAATGACTATGATAGCAGGTGTGAATCAGAATTCCTATTGGCAAAAAGCTCCAACGATTAAATGAAGCAAACTCCACAAGAGTCCATATTGATTCTTCCCAGACTGATGCCTTTACACCTTGGTTTTGGTGACAAATCCTGAAAATACCACGGAGTGCCAAAAGAACAAACAAATCTGTTTTGGACAAAGTACAGTCAGAGTGCTTTTTGGAGGCAAGGATAGTAAGACTTAGTCTCCTATACTTTGGCATGTTACCAGGAAGGGCCAGCTCTTGGAAAAAGATACCATGCTTGGAAAAGTAGACAGAAAGACCCTCAGTGAGATGGACTCACACAGTGACTGTAACAGGCTTAGGCAGAGAGGACTGTGAGAATGGCACAGAATTGGGCAAGGTTTGATCTGTGATATACAGGGTCACTGTGGGTCTACTCGACAGTACACAACAACAACAACAACTTCTGCACAAACATGAGAAGTTTAGAACACACTCTAGGAGTGGTAACAGCATGGCACATCTTAGAGGAACTATTTCCGTTGTCTTAACAGCAAGCAAAGATTAGCTTTGTCTCTGGACAATTATAGTCCTCAAAGAGCATCTTTGGGTTAAATCTGATGTTATCACAGTAAGTAGCTCAATTGCAAAAGGAGACTTCCAGATTTTTTTCTGCTAGTGAACTGAGTAAGGAGTGCTGGTGGTATAATGCGTAGCTTGGCAGGCTGGTCACCAAAACGTTCCCTGTCTCTGGGAGCTGGAAAGCAGTGACTCCTCGAGGGAAAGCTGAGCAGGCTTCCTACATTGTGATTTTCAGCCTCTGAAAGCAGAGGTTTGCTAGGAGTTGGAATCAACTCTACTTCGGTGCATTAGAGGTTATGAGTTTAGGAAACAGAATAGTTACGGGTTACTGTCTCTCTTTCATGGTAACATCCATTAGCATAAAATTCTTTGAACATATAGAATTTCTGTCATTGCTGTGGAGTTAGAATCAACCAACAACTGACCCTTTTCAAGGTTTTTTTTTTTTTCTTTTTTTTTTTTCTTTTCAAGGTTACAAACCACACAGGAGGTGATTTCCTATCTTTCTCCCTGGGAATTGCTGTTGGATCCAAGCAACCAGAGAGGTTCCGCTTTTGGGTTAATAATGCAACTCCCTACGACCTTGGTCATCAGAACTCCCAAATATACTGAGTAAACTTGTAATAACAGTTTTATCTCCTTGTCCGCTAATCTAACCTCTTTATTAATTCTGGGTCAGTTCTGGCTGATTTCTCAGTCCAGGTCTTTTTTTCCTGCTTCTTTGCATGCCCAATAATTTTGGATTGGGTGAAACATTGTGAATTTGACCCTAATGAGTGCTAGATATTTTTGTATTCCTCTAAAATAAGTTTTCATAAGATTGCCAGTCAGTAATAGTTACTTGTTCCTGAAAACCAGACAAACAGAAATGTACTCAAGTCAGTAAATATGCCTCTGGGTCCCAATCACAGGCCTGCCCAACTAACAAAGCCTTTGGAAAATCTTCAGATTCCCAAACTCCACACTTCTCAAAAGCCCTGTGTAAAAGGAGCAAAGTTGGCTTGCTCAGGCCGACTGGGCCTGATTAGACAGCTTTCCTTCACCGTAGCAAACAAAAAGCCAGCTTGGTTTTTTTAATTTCAGGTATTGAGCGGGTGGGGTCATTACTGTTTCCCAGTCCAACAGTCAGCAGTGTAATTCCATAATCACTCTGTTGATGTGGGTCCTGACAGTGGCATTTGCAGCTACTAATACTTGAACACGAATTAAGCGAGGCAACGTGCTAGCCACTTCATATGTAGCCAGTCTGGGTAACAGTACTCAATTAACTTATTTTTAAATGATACAGGAAAATGTAAATATCAGCTCTAGTGTCTCAGTTAAGGATAGAGATACTAGTCTTATTAAAAACATACTGATAATCATCCAGCATAGAAGAGTATTTACGACAGTGAAAATCTTCTACTATTTTCCAGTTGATTCTCTAGGATCATATTTCATATCTCTAGGATCATAGGAATTACCTATTGGCTGTTACACTAGCAAATTTCCTTGATACAAAATATCTGTATTATTTAGTGTCTCATTAATTGCATTTTCATAATAATGTACTTAGAAACATATCCAAACATCATGCAACAGTATGTCCTACCATACAACAAATTAATATAAATTTATTGAGTGGAAAAAAGGGGAAAGGTACAAAAAAGATAGAATGGTTCTGTACGGGTATACGTACAAGGATAAACTCAGGTCCACAATCTTCAGCCCATCAGAGGCTTCACATTTTCATAACTGCAACATCAGGCCAACGTGCACTGCTGGGCTCACGGAATCCTGGAGGTGTAGTCACATATGGAGACGCTCCTCTGGCAAGGACATCACTTCCTCTCGGATTCAGAATGGAATTTAGGTGTGAACTTTGTATTCTTCTTGGTCTCCCATCGCTGTAGTACAGACTGGTTGGGCATGACATCCTCCCTTATAAGGTCCTCCTATTGGAAAGAAAACACATCTACCCCCAGCTACCTAAGATGAACTCTGTCGAGCTGAGGACTTGATTTGTCTCTATGCCATTTATTCATTAAGGTGGGGGGTTCTAATGGAAACAATTTAGGAAAGGTGAAACTAAAAAAATTAGTTCACTGGTTTCCTGTTAATGGTTTAAGCAAATCTGAAGATTAGTGAGAGCAACTGGATGAAGAGAGAACTGCGATGATGAGAAATCAAGCAAAAACAAACACAGTGTTGTGTAAGGCAGCATGTCTTCATAACTCACCTCTTCCTGCCACCTGTCATCGCGTGGAAGCCTCTGCAGCCGGTTTTTTGTCAGCTCAAATTGTAGACCATCAAACCTACACTTAAACCAGCGGTGGGCTTCTTCCAGGTTGGCTGTTATCTGAACATATAAATGCGATTATGAAAAGTTAGGACAATGCAACAGCAGTAAGTTTTTTTGTGTATCAGTTTGAGAGATGCTTAACTTGGATAGTTAATATCTAACTTCTGATTACAAGACTTTTGGAACCTATAGTTCCTGTTTGTGAGAGAGTAACTTCATGGTTTTGTAAATTAAGGTAAGAGAGAACCTAGAGGGAAAAAACAAGAATGAAAGTGTGGACATGAAGCTCTCAATAAGGTAGTAGCTCAAGTCGTAATTTGTGAAATCTCTTTCCCATGACTAAATATTTCCCTGAAGTTCCTAAACTGTAAAGGATAGATTTTTTTCCCTTGGGTAAAATGATGAATTATACTATTAAAAAACTGTACTGGCTGATGTAAGTTTTATTTCTTTCCTTTACAAACTATAGGTTTTACACTTTCACCCCTAAATCCCACTCTTTCAAATGGTCTTGGTTCAGGATCTGAAAATAGCTAGGCTAATAATTTGCATTTGAAGTATGTCTGGAATCAGTATTGAATTACTTGACAAATTAAGTCTTTTTAAGTACCTGTATGTATCTGATATTATTTTTCAGGTATTTGGTGTTTCAAAAGTAGAGCTAACAGATTTTTCATAAAACTTTCATAAATAAAATAACCTCAAAGCAGCTCTTAAAAAATTTTAGAAAACTAAACCTAAAATTACTTAAGATGGCAATTATCTAAGTAGCTTACCTTTTTTGGGGCCACTGGTAGATTTGAACCTCTAGAGAGGCAGGGCCTTCTGTTAGCAGTGGAAATCCCAAGGAAATCCCTGAGTCAAATCACTGTTGTTGTGTACTGTCAAGTCAGACCCCATAGCTGACCCTCTCCAGTAGGTTTTCAGAGCCAGTAAATTGCACGCGAGGCGACTGCCCAACCTTATCCCACAGAAGAGCTGGTGGATTTGAACCACGTGCCTTTGGGATTGTAGGGCAGTTTCTTACCACTAGGCCATCAGAGCTCCTTAGTCAGATCATGAGTGTAATATATTGAGACAGGAACAAACCTATCCTTACTAGTGTTATTTAGCAAAAGCTTTTTCCCATGTCTCTTTGTGTGTCCTGATTTCCATCTCTAAACAAAATGAAAACTCAAACTCCCCTTTCTCCAGCATTCTTTACTAAGGCTGGAGGGGAAGATACTAAACATAGCATTGTATATCATGTCTTCTATGGTGTGGTGACTGAGAAGGGACTTAATGTTTACTGAAACTTCTCTGGGCTATCAGAACAGCACAATGGTGTGCCTCAACAAGTCTGAACTGATGGCACTAAGTCTGTTTTTATTTTGTTTTATGTATTAACTTACTAATTTTTAGGGACACAGTAATTGGTATGTGGAAGAACACAGATGTAAATTTCCTAATAGTACACAGATTGTGTCACTTGACATTCAAACAGTCTAGTCAGAGCCCATGTTCTTAGAACCATTCTGAGAACTCTATTAGATTATACTTAATTAGTGGCTACAGAAGTAACAAATCATCAACTGTAGCATGGTCATTGAGATGCCTTAAGCTCTAGAACTCCAATTTTCTGATCTTAGAAACGACAGGCAGTAATGGTAGATTAGTGATGTCAAAGATCTTTTCTTGTTAGAAAAATTTAGAATTTTAATATTTACCTCCCCCCCAAAGGCTGATTTAACATATAAAGACACAGGCAGCAAGTCAATAGATTAAATATACTTTTAGCTCTTGGTGCATTAAAATCCACACACATCATGAGCTTTCATACTGACATAAAGTGATAGGGGCTTGGACTTTAGCGTTAGAAAATATTTTTAGCACTCTATTAACTATCAAGAGAGTTCTGGTGGCTTAGTGGTAAGGAATTGCTGCTCTATCAACATAAAGGTATGTGGTTTGAATCTACCGGTTGCCCCACAGGAGAAAGATGGGCAGTTTGTTCCCATGTGATATACTGCCTCTAAAAACTGGATGGAAGGTGAGTTATGGGTTGGTTCCAACTCAAAGGTACACAACAACAGCAACAATAACATTATAAATCAGGGAGCTCTAGTGGCCTAGGGTTAAGTAGCTGCGCTGCCAACCTAAAAGCACACAGTTCAAATCCACCAGCTGCTGTAGGGGAGAAAAATAGGCAATCTCCTCCTGTGTGATGTACAGCCTCTGAAAACCCAGGGATGGGCTGATTCTGACTTGCCAGTATAACAACAATAGTCTCTATCATGAGGGCATGGAGCTTTAAAATAAAATTCCATTTTACGAGCTGCTCCCTGGAAGAAGGATGGGTAATCTCCCTCTGTATGATTGACTGTCTCTGAAAACCTGCTGGAGGGCCACCTTTGGGTTGGTTCCACTCAGTGGTGTATAATAACAACATTAAAGACTGTATTTAGTAAGGTATTAGCTCTTCCCCTCTATACTCCTGACAACTGTGTTAAGAAAGGAGTTCACGCTGGCTTCAGGGTGGCCGTGTCTTTCGGTCAGTGGGTCCAGCTCACCTGTTCTGACTCCACACTGGCTTCTTTCAGTTTATTCTCTGTTGCTTCTTTACATCTCCTCAGATGTCTGACAGTTTCTTCTAATTCCTGAAAATATAATGCTGAGATTAATAAAAATCTTCAATCTATACGCTATGGAACACAAAACACTAACTTAGTAATATATGGGAGACCAAATATCAAAGTATGATGGGATATTAACTTCAGATGCTACCAAAATAAAAAAGTTGTTGATTTCCACGTAATTTAACAATGTGTGTATCTATATGTAATTACAGAATTCGACGTATGGATTTTACTGAGCTCTGGTGGCTTAGGGGTTAAGGAGTTGTACTACCAACACAAAGGCACATGGTTTGAATCTACCAGTTGCTCCATGAGAGAAAGATGGGCCATCTCTTCACATGTGATTTACTGCTTCTGAAAACCCACTGGATGGTCAGCTATGCATTGGTTCTGACTTGACAACAGTTAATAACAACAACAGAGGAAAAGTGATTCTTTTCAGGATTGGAGAAATACCTTTTATAGCAAACAATGCCAGCTTGGAAACAGGAGATCAGTGATCTTTTTATGCCCCTTTCAAAAGTGACATTTTAAAATTAGGTTGGTAATGGCACACAGTCCTATAACAGCACAGCGTATCTCACAATTGGGAAGAACTAAGTGTGCATAAAGTTCTTAAAAGACTACAAAATTCAGCTCAACTTTTATTTCGGAACTCATTGCTGTTGACCATTCATTGGGCTTTTGGGGATTTTCCATCTTTCTTCCTAGTAGTTGCTGGTGGATTTCAACCACCAGAGAGGTGTGGCCTCTGGCAAAGCAGCACAGCCCCCTCTTCACTGTTATTGTTCACCGTCGAGTTGGAACTGACCCATCGCTGACCCTCTAGCAGGTTCTCAGAGGCAGTTAATCACACAGGAGGAGAATACCCATCCTTCTCGAGCAGAGCAGTTGCTGGGTTCTAACCACATGCCCTCGGGAATGCAGCACAGCTTCTTGCCACTAGGCCACCAGAGCTCCCTGACTAGGCCACCAGAGCTCCCTGACTAGGTCACCAGAGCTCCCTGATTAGGTCACTAGAGCTCCTGAAATCTTTCCTCTTGTTACATACTGTCACATCAGAACTGACATAGGTCTCTAACTATAGAGTTGATCCTCTAGTGGGTTTTAAGAAGCAGTAAATCACACAGGAAGAAGTAGCTCATCCTTCTCCCAGAGAGCAACTGTTGGACTTGAATCATATGCCTTTGGAATTGCAAGGCAGCCTCTTAACACCACAGTCCTTACTTCTTGTTTTTAGGAGCTATCAGGAACAATACACAGCAACACTATGAAGACCTGACCCAAACCCTGCCCTGTCCTGTGCCGTCCTCATCATCTCTGATACACCAGAGCCCACTGCTGCATTCACCATGGCAACCCTGCTTGGTGGGGTCTTCCTCTTCTCCACTGACCATCTTTCCACACACGACATCCCTTTCCAAGGCATAGCCTCTCCTAGCTACATGTCCAAAGTAAGAAAGAGGAAGTATTGCTGTTTTGTATATGTGATATCTGATAGTTCTTTAGAAGATGAGAATCTTTATTAAATAGAAAATGAAGAACACTCGATACATTCCAGAACCTGCTGCCATCCACTCTGACTCATAGCAGCACCACAGGGCAGGGGAAGGATTCTAACACTGTGTATCTTTATGGAAGGCGACTGTCACATCTTTCTCCTGCTGAGTGGGCGGTGGGTTCGAAATGCTTGGTCTTTCAGTTAGGAGGACCATAACCACCGTGCCACCAGGGTTCCTGGCATCTTCTGAGACACCACAACAGGAAGTTGAGGCACTCTAAGGCTGGGTTTGGGGGCAGCCATTTGCTAACAGTCTTCGAGGTAGATTTTAAGAAACCCTTACCCGGCACCGATTCTCGAGCTCATATCTTATCTTCCGCTCTGTATCCAGTCGGATCTCTTGCTGTTTATTTCGTGTGGAGGCATCAAACTGGCTCTTGGCCAACAGCTGCATCTCCTTCTGCAGTTTGGTCATCTCAGATACAAATTTCTGGATACTCAGTGACTGGAAAGGCACAAGGAGGGGGTATTTTTGGTGAGCCTGCATGAGTTTGAGACAATGCATGTGAATGTTAAACACAGGGCTTAAAAAGTCACCTACCTGTTCATAGTTCTTTTTCTGATACTGTTCCTTAATTAGCTCCATCTGCCTCAATTCTTGTTCTATTTGCTGAAAATACACAAGGAGAGAACACAATAAAAGAGATCCATTTTAGCTTGTTCTTTTTATTTGGATGATGCTGGGCAGAATCCCATGAGACCCAGAATTATCAACTCCTGTTGGGTTCTTCCTATTTGGCTAACAGACCTTCCAGAGCAAAGTCTAGGACAATCAGTGTGGAAGGGAGAGATGAGAACTGGGAGGATACATTGGCAGCTAGTGAGAAACAGTTCCACATCACTTTCTCTCACTTATTAAGAGAGTTCCTACAAAGGCAACCCACTCACTTCCCGGCTGTAACTAGAATTCCCAGAGCAACACACGCCACAGCTTCTGAAAACTGTCTTCTTCAGAGACCACAACTGCCGGTCTCACTGCTGAATGCTAAGGGAAGTGAGGGCAGAGCTAAGGTTTCAGACACAACCTTCATCCTCTCTAGGTTCTGAGTATTAGTCGCCTTGGCTGACAAGTAGTGCTTAATTTGGGCCTTTTGGCTTTTTATTTTCTCCTTGTTACTGTTGAGTGTTTTCTCCAGCTCTGTTATTTTTTGTCGCAGCTCTCTGTTGGTCCGGGACACTTCAGCTGATCTGAAGTTGGCTTCGTCAAGAGCTTTCTTTAGCTATGGAACAAAAAAGGAAAAAGAGTAAAAGCAATAATAATAGTCTTCTGTTTAAGGAGACTTATGGCACAAATACAAGTGATATTCAGAATTTTTAACACATAAGGAGAAAATTTTTCTTGAAGTAGATAAAAAAGTAAATATATACTAATCTTTAAAAAAAATTTTAAATTCATAGCTTTAGAGCAAAATAGGCCTAAGTTCAAATCTCAATTATACCACTTATTAATTGAGTTATTTTGGGAAATTTACTTTTTAAGTCTTAAGATTTTCAACTTAAAAGTATAAATAATAGCCTACCTTACTAAAAATAATATTTCAGAAAGTGCCAAATAACCATGGTAATGAAGGAAGACATTCCAAGTAGCACTGAAGGTATTAGCAAAGAAGAAGGCCCCAGGAATTAATGCGTTACCAACTGACATGTTTCAATTAAAAGATGTAACTGTGGACATGCTCACGAGTCTGTGCTAGGAAATTTAGAAGATAGCTGCCTGATCAACTGATTGGAAGAGTCCCATATTTATTCTCATTCCCAAGAAAGGTAATCCAACAGAATGTGGAGGTTATCAAACAGTATCATTAGTATCCCATGCAAGCAAAATATTGCTGAAGATTATCTAAAAATGGCAAGAACACTACATTGACAGAGAACCACCAGAAGTTCAAGTGGGATTTAGAAGAGGCCATGGCACAATGGATATCAGATGGATCCTGGATGAAAACAGTGAATACCAGAAGAATGTTTATTTGTGTTTTATTGACTATGACTATGCATTTGATTGTGTGGATCATAAAAAAATTATGGCTAACATTGAAAAGAATGGGAATCCCAGAGTACTTAACTATGCTCATATGAAACCTAGAACAAGAAGCTTTTATCAGAATAAAGCAAAGGAATAATGCATAGTTTAAAATTTGGGAAGGTGTGAATCAGTACTGTATCTTTTCTCCATATCTATTCAATCGGTATGCTGAGAAAATCATTCAAGAAGATGAACTCTATGATATAATGAAGACTGAGACATTAGAATCAGAAGAAACTCAAGAACCCGTGTTATGCAGATGACACAAACTTGCTGAAAAGAAAGAGAACTTGAAATGTTTGTTGCAGAAGATCAAAGACTATAGTCTTCAATGTGGATTATACCTCAGCATCAAGAAAACAAAAAATTCTCAGCACTGCACCAAGAGGCAACATCAAGATTGATGGAGAAAAGATTAAACTATTAACTAAGTAAGAGTTTACCTTACTTGGACCCACAATCAACACCCTGGGTACCGATAGTCAAGTGATCAGGAGACACACCGAAAATGGAAAGCCTGCAGTCAGGGACCCCTCCAAATTACTGATGAGCAATGATGGTAGTTTAAAGACTAATGTGTGCCCTATTCAGGTGATGGCCTTTTCAATTGATATGCATCTGAGAGTTGGACAACGAATAAGGATGAGAGAAGAATTGATGCTTTTGAGCTGTGTTATTGGAGAAAAGAGGTGAATATCGCATGGATGGACAAAAGACAAACACATGCCTTGAAAAAAGTGCAGCCAGGGTGCTACTTGGAGGCAAAGATGGCTGTTTCACATATTTTGAGCATGTTTGTAGGAGAGGCTATTCCTTGGAAAGAGACATCATGCTTACGAAGGTGGAGGGTCAGAGAAAAGGTGGAAGATCTTTAACAAAATGTATTGACATGATGACTACAAACAATAGGCTCAAGTATGCCAGAGATGATGAGGATGGCACAGGATAGGACAGGGTTCAGATCATAGGGTTGCTGAATAATACTTAAATTGACAGCACTGAACAACAAGCTTGTTAAATATGATATATAGTAAAATAATGTATAGAATAAATATAGAGGCTGGAATACACTAATAATCATCATGCCATAATCCTCTCCTTTCTTGATCCATGCAACCTAATGTCTGGAGAATTCACAATAAGTTACATGGTCCTAAGTCAGCGATGGCTGTACAGTCAGAACCAACTCATCATAGCTGCCCATCTTTCTCCTGCAGAGTGATTGATGTAGTTTATAGAAATACTAATTTTTTACTATCACAGCATGTACTTTTATACTGCATTCTGTCTTTAGGGATTTTAATAAAATTCTCTAGTGAAGACACAGTGATTTCTTCAGAACCACTCCTCTCCTCCATGTGCCCTTAAGTCAGAACTCCTTAAATTTGGTGAAGAAAAGGCAGTTAACGACAAGGTTGTACAGTTTGGTGGGTGGCAAGAGGAGGTGAAAGAAATGAAAAGGATCCAGTGGGAACCTGAAAAGACTGGGAAATGATGGGCAAAGTCCAATGGTGACTGAGTTTATTAAACATAATGCATGGGAATGATTGTATGAAACACAATGTATAAGAAATTTGGGAGCTAGCCAATATAACACTTTCAAACATTTGATTGTGCTAATGCGAAACCTATACTTGGACCAAGAGGCAGTCATCACAACAGAGCAGGGAGACACTAGATGGTTCAAATCAAGAAAGGGGTTCATCAGGGATGTATTTTGTCTCCATACCTTTTCAATCTGTATGCAGAACAGATCATCCGAGATGCTGAGATGCTGGGCTGTACAAGGAGGAATGTGGCATCAGGATTGGTGGAAGAATCACCAACAACCTACGTTATGCAGATGACACAACCCTGCTCACTGAAACTGAGGAGGACCTGAAGCACTTGCTGCAGAAGGTCAAGGATTGCAGTCTTCAATATGAATTGAAACTCAACATCAAGAAAACAAAGATTCTTGCCTCAGTGGACCAAGAGACAAACCACTCCCTCCAAACTCAGGCAGTATTTTTCCCTCCTTGCTGATCTTTCTTTCAAATCCCTTCTTCCCTCTGCAGTCTGGACTTGGTCTCTATGTCCTTTCAAATGCAAACTTCCTGATTCAGATTGTGCTGAATAGAGCTCAGGATTAAACTCTAGTTCCCACGATCTCTACACAAGTCCATGTCCAGTGCTATCAACAAGAATACATTTCTTTTGGGAAAATCTTCTCTTCATTTAGCATATTCAAGCAAGAACTGGCTGAAGGCAGGTTTGTATTTCTGGAAGCAAGGATGGTGAAACTGCCTCATAAACTTTAGACAAACTGTTAGGAGGGGCCAGTCCTTGGAGAAGGGTATCATAGTTGGAAAAGTCGGGGGTCAGTAAAAGAGAAGAAGACTCTCAACAGGACGATTGACACAATTACTACAACAATGGGTTTTAATGTGCCCGAGATGGTAAAGATGGCACAGGACAGGGGAGGGCTCAGATCCATTGTTCATAGTGTAGTGAGTCACAGTTGACTGGATGGCACATGACGACGATAATCTACACTATCTAAGGTTAATTTCCATCAGACATGTTACAACACTAAGTAGAGGAAACTTTCAGTATCTGTAGCATATCCAAATAAACACATCACCCTTTTTTAAAAATAAAAAAAAAGAAAAAAAAAAGAAAACAAAGATTCTCACCACTCTGCCAATTGGCAGCATCAGTATGAATGGTGAAGAGATTGAGACAGTTAACAGTTTTTGTTTGCTTTGCTCCACAGTCAACACTCTTTGTAATAGCAGCCAGGAAATCAGGAGATGAATTGCATTGGCAAAGTCAGCTGTGAGGGACCTCTCAAGAGTACCGAAGAGCAACGACGTCAGGCTGGAGACTAAAGTACAGCTGATCTAGGCTATAGTCTTTGCAATTATGTGCTATGCATTGGAGAGTTGGACAGTGAATAGGGATGATAGAAAGAGAATTGATGCCTTTGAGTTGTGGTGCTGGAGAAGTGTTGAATATACCATGGACTGCTAGGAAAACAAACAGGTTTGTCCTGGAGAGGGTGAAGCCAGAATGTTCCCTGGAGTCAAGGATTCTGAAGTTTCGTCTGACATACTTTGGGGCATGTTGCAAGGAGAGACTGGTCCTTGGAGAGGGACACCATGTTTGGGAGAGTGGAGGGACGGCACAGGAGAGGAAGACCCTCGATGAGATGGATCGATTCTGTGAGTGGAGTGGTGGAAATGAATGTGTTTGAGACAGCGAGGTTGGCACAGGATAGAACGGTGGTTAGGGCTCTTGTACACAGGGTCGCAATGAGTTGCAAATGACTCGATGGTACATAACAACAGCAACAACATCTCATGTTTTCATTCCTATTACTGTTGAATCAATTCCAACCATAAAAGGGATGTTTTTATGTGTTGTTGAGTCACTTGCAACTCATAGTGACCCTACGTACAACAGCCCTAAACCCTGCTCTGTCCTGTGCCAATCTCACTGTCTCTGACACACCTACTCCCACTACCCCAATCACTGAATCGATCCATCTCATAGAGGGTCTTCCTCTCCTGTGCTGTCCCTCTGCTCTCCCAACCATTATGTCCCTCTCCAAGGACTGGTCCTCCTTACAACATGCCCAAGTATGTCAGATAAAGCTTCAGAATCTTTGACTCCAAAGAGCAGCCCAGCTTCATCCTCTCCAGGACAAACCTGTTTGTTCTCCTAGCAGGCCATGATATATTCAACACTCTTCTCCAGCACCACAGCTCAAAGGCATCAATTCTCTTTCTATAATGCCTAGCCACTGTCCAGCTCTCTGATGCACAGCATGCAACTGTGAAAACTATAGCCCAGATCAGGTGCACCTTAGTCTCCAGCCTGACACTGTTGCTCTTTACTACTCTGGAGAGGTCCCTCACAGCTGACTTTCCAAATGCAATTCGTCTCTTGATTTCCTGGCTGCTGTTACCAAGAGTGTTGATTGTGGAACCAAAGCAAACTAAAACTATTAACATCTCTTCACCATCTATACTGACACTGCCAAGCACTTCAGGTCCTCCTTAGTTTCAGCAAGCAGGGTTGAGTGATCTGCATAATGCAGGTTGTTGATGACTCTTCCACCAATCCTGATGTCACATTACTCCTTGTACAACCCATCTTTCTGGATGATCTGTTCTGCATACAGATTGAAAAGGTATGGAGACAGAATACATCCCTGGAGGAACCCCTTCCCAATTTTGAACCATGTAGAATTGGCAGATATACAGAAGGATCTAATGAAATAGCATTTGAGCCAGAGCCTATGGTGACGAAGGCAGA